GTATTCGGTTAGAAAATTCCACGCCGAATTATGGTTGAAAATTAAATATTTTTAAAATTTATTTTTCGTTTCTCAACAATGCAAATTATTTTCTCCAAGTCACCAGTGAAACATAAAAGGTGTTGTCGCCTTGATTGTTGAGTTGTCATGGTAACTAAGTGAGACCCTAACCTCGAATATAATTTCAGTTTTGAAGTTGTCAAGCGGACCGACGTAAAAAAATGTTTCGCTGCAATTATTTAGGCCTTCAAATTGCTTATTTCTACTCATTGTAGTTGCATGGGAATACCATTTGAAAATAGAAAATAGTATATTCTTTAATTTTACGTAAGTTTTGAATAACTACAAGTGGTAGAAAATTGTTTTTCTGCGTTTTTATTAACATGCGTTATGAGCGCTTTAAAATGGTATGAAATTCATAACCAGCGTCAGCAAGCATCAATCGTAGGAGGCTGTGATCCTTGTATTTTGACAGTTCAAAACATTAAATAACTCGCGTTTTGTTGCGATAAAGAATATTGCACAGCAAGTAAAACCAACAAAATTACCTATTTGTTTAAAAATGAATCGATTTGAAAATCATACGCTATGCAAAATATGCGTGAAATTGTCTGATGTAATGATCAATCATTGCACCATGACTTACTTACTCGGATTAATAGAGGATTGTGGCTCCAACTTGAAAAACGAAAATTTGTTCCGAATTGTCCACGAATATTTGCACCTAAACTACGCAAAATTCAAAGTGCTGAATGGGAAAAAGGTGAATAAATTAGTGTCTAAATATTATATATATTTTATTAGACATAGACACATAATTCAAAGCATCCAAGGTCCTGCATTTTCGTCATTAAGAAGAAAAGAAGTGGCCGAAGAATATAGAAAACACCTTAGCATTGTAACTAAAATGTATCAAAACTAAACCTATTATGTGAACAAATAAAAACCAGTCTGTCAAAAATGGTCTGTTATTGTAAACGTCAAAAAATTTCCAGTATAATTCGCTGTTGGGTACCCCACGAGAAAAAAATTTCCACTAAAATACCTCCGTTGCCATGGTGATCTGTCAAAAACACGTATTTTGATTGGTTCAAAATTACAGGTGTGGAATTTTCATAAAAATAAATTTTATAACTATAAAACTAAAAAAGATATAAAGGAATTTTCTTAAGGGGTACATCAAAGGCACACTTCCCCTACAGATTTTTGATACATTGTCAATAAAGAATATACTTTCTGGTGTGGCGATTGGTTTATTGATACACAACTAAGTACTATTTTGTTACAAATATTTATAATATTTATAATTTACATAATAGTTGATATAGGTCTTTTAAAAATTATATATTTTATTCATACATGAGACATTTTCCTTGTAGCGTTGTTTACATTTTATAGAGAACTATTGTGTTCTGATTTTAGCTGATAAATTATAAACATGTAAATGGGTTGAATGTAGACAATGTTAATGTAGTTGCTTGCTACTACTGCTGCTGGAAGTGCTGGGCTGAGACACAAAAAAAAACAGAAGGAACCACAAAGCACTAGACAAGTTTCTATCACCTCTACTCTTACAATATACAACCATTCAAGTAATTGGTATGTTGGAAATACTTCACAAAAACATATTAAACATAAATCAAGTCTAATGCAATGAATTTTCTTTTTATAACACACTTATTTAGCTTAATTACATCTAGTACATTATTTATTCCAATGTCCTCAAATAAAACGACCAATAACACGTAATAATAACTAAACACACATCAAAATGTATTTGTGGTATTTTTTATCTAACTCCACTATCAAAATAACAAATTTTTTGTTTTTAAGCTGTGGATAAAAACTACTTTGATAAAATGTAAACAAAAGTTTGTAGTTTGTGTACGAAATATGGGTTGTCTGCGCATGGTAGCGAGTTTTTAACCGGATTTATGACAAGTGATAGATTATATCCCGAAAACGTCAGCGCAGTAAAAGCTGCGCGTCTTTTTCCCGCCCAGGGAGCGTCAATACTGCTAGAATACCTATACTGAGGTAACGCACATAAAACGTAAATGTTTACATAAGGACTAACAACAATCGTCCGAAAACAATGTTGCCAAATTTAGGTTGCCTATATTTAGTTTTTTTTTATTACTCAAAACTTCTATGTTCATTAACACATTACTAACACAATAGAGTACTCATATTGCATAAGAAGATTTTACGAAATCTGGCATCGGTTAGCAAAGTTGGTTTCATAATCAGTGATTCAATCAGAAAACAGAACCATCAAATCTAATTCTCAAATACAGTTGACCAATTATTTTTTCAAAAACACATCGCGATGTTACAACAATCGCTGTACGAGTGGAATTTAGTAATTCTAAACTGGTTTGTGAAATAACCAAAACCCAAAACAGGCCTATTAGTCATTATTATGATGTTTCTGTATAGTGTTATAGTGTTTTCCATAGGAGTTTTTGTTTTTAGCTGTGAATAAAATACATTTTGTTATATTATTTAGTTAATGATTTATAGTTTGCAGAATACATTTGTGTAGTGTATAGAATACTCTTTACATTAATATCACCGAGAAAAATTTTGCTAGTGGGTATTAAAAATTTAATAACGGCTATTAAATTTTTTAATACTATATAAGACAGCTAAACTGATTAATAGCACATATTAAACTTTTGTTCTTGGATCAGTGTTTCTGAACAAATAAAAAACTTTGCTTATCATTAGTAAATTAATTTGGTAACAGGTATTATACAGTTTATTAGGAGGAACTAAATACTTTAATAGTCAATATTAAACAGGGTAATAATAGATATTGAACAGCTTAATAGCATTTAGTTCACAAGTATTGATAATTTAATAACTGTTATTAATGGCTTTAATGATGGATATTTGCAGGTCCTAATACTGTCTATTAAACCACTTTAATTATGATTATTAAATAGTTTCATAGAGGTCGTTCAAAAATATCTCCTCCAATAATTGGTAATTGTCTCTATCTAATTATATATGAAATATAAGCACATGCAAACCTTAGGTTAGTACCCCACTCTTTTTTATAAGTTCAAGAAAAAATACCTACATAGATAAAGGTTTAATTATCTGGACGACTGTGGGTCAATTTTTCCAAAACTTGGTATAGTTTTTATAGGAAGAGATTACAAAATTTCAATTTTTTTAAAGATTTTATTAATATTAAAAAAAATTGAATCAAATTTTGAAAATCTAGTTCCAGAGAAACACATATTTAACACCTAAACTTTATGGGGTACTACTAACAGTTTGCATGGATAAAATTCGTATTAGTTAGAAAAGACACATACCAAAATAACTACCGGAATCTCCAGTTTTTTAGTAATTCCGTATAATCCATTATTTTAGTTCATTAAAACTCACTGGAACACGATTTACTCGTACCTCACAAGTACACTAGATTCCGTAGGGCTAGAGTTGTTTCTTCATTTCATGCTATGGCGCGAATGATTATTATGAGCTTCTAGACCGTCAGATAGTGACAGGTTTAGGTGCCCCATTTTCGCATACAAGCCTCGAAGAGGGTTAAAAAGTACATCGATTTTAAGTAGAATGAAAGGAAATTTACAAGTGGCTCCTGGGGATAACACATGGAAAATTCGATTTGCCCCAAAAAAAAAGAAAGGTTATTTGCTGCCCACATTTCCACGCAAGCCGTTTTCACTATATGATTAATAAATAGAACTAGGCTTCGGAAAACCAAAGGCTTTAATGTTGCAAGTGGCTAAAGGGCGTAATCTTCTAAGGAAAAATCGAGATTTTTCCCGATTTTTCCACACAAGCTCATCGAATGTATGAAAACGTACATCGTCACTGGTCTGAAAAACATATTTTTTTGAATGACCTGAATGTATAATTGCATTTTGGGTTCGGAAAATTTTTCTGATAAGGAAAATCGAATTTTCCATGTGTTATCCCCAAGAGCCACTCGTAAATTTTCTTTTATTCTACTCTACATCGATGTACTTTTCAACCCTCTTCGAGGCTTGTATGCGAAAATGGGGCACCTAAATCGGTCACTATCTGACGGTCAATTGTAAATCTACATCACGTAGAGTATGGAGGGGATAACAATCGTTAAAATTTACTTATGGTTATCGAACATATCAATATGGTTAGCAACTGCTATTAAAGAGTTTAATAGGCACCATTAAATCAGTTTAATACTAATCAGAAAGCTAGTGGGTATTAAAGTTTTTACTAATATGCTATTAGCTATTAAACAATTGACTAATTACAGAGCAGTTTTAAATTAATACATTTCTAGTAAAATTCGTTTAATTACTGATATTAACCGAAAATAAAGTAATTTGTTAGTGACAATCAATTTTTTTTCTATCAAACATGTTTAATAGACCTCGTTTTCTCGATGATTAACTGTTTTATAAAGTTCTTTACAGTCTGCCATAAACAATTTCGAAAAGGCGAAGGAATTTCATTTCACCTGTATAAACAATCAACTTATAATAAAAAAATGCAGTGTTTGATAAAAAAATAAGCTTTTTAACATCCGGTTTTTATTAATAAAAGTGTAAACCTGTAAAGTGTAGACCTCGTCTAATTAAACAATCTGAAATTTCATTTTAATACAAATAACAAATTATTACTTTCCCAATGAAACTACGCCACCCGAAATTTTCAACGTTTATGGACCTGAAATTCGACGATATGTTTGCAACATCGCTTAACATTGAATACGTATCAGTCTCGTGCTCCCTCTATATATCCTAGCTCTGTGGTCACTTCACACTGTGATTTTTGATCTAAAATACACGTTATTTTTTAATAAAATTTTCGAGATATTATTATATGTAACTTACACATTGACTTTTTAAGGAAACATTAGAATTTTAAAATTTCATATGTAAAAAAAGATTATTCTTTTCAGATAAATAGCTAAAAATACATCACCTGCTTTTCATAAACTTTTACTTCGATATTTTTAAATTGTTTTTTTCTTACAGGTATGAGAGAAGTGATAGCATTTCAAGGATCATGTACTCCAAATGCATGTGTAGGGGAAGTAGCGTGTAAGCCATTTGCTAATGGGACGTATATGTGTATATGTACACATGATTCTAAACCTCCCTACGCAGATGGTTCCTGTCCTAGGAAAGTTGTTGCTTCGGGCAATAGTGCTTCAGAAGGTTAGTAAATATGAAACTTAGATGAAGATAAAGTCTTGACGCACAAAATAAGTTTAATAAAACAGGGATGAAACAACTAATTTCGGCCAGTATTCATCATCTGGCCTATAAGAAAGTGTGTTGATGTTGCGCAGTTGTGAAATATGTTTTGATTTTTTAAAGTAGAAAAGTAAAAAGTAATAATCTATGGGTTGATAATACATGAATTTTAAAATGCTATGACCATCAAAATATCAACTTAGTACTTACAGAGCTGAAGGCGACTACATAAATAAATTTATTTTGTGGTCAATACTTTAAGTTTTTCCTTTACGGATATAGCACATTTGAGATGTGGATAACCTTCTTATTTGTATTCTGAAACTTCAGTAACGCAAATTTTAAAAATATATATACTCTTAATCACTTTATTCAAATATGTGTTGTTGTATTGTCTTTGAGAGAGGAGTGGGTCTGGCCTCACACTGGTCTATTTGCCACAGTTAATTTATATTTTGTAAACGTATGCTTTTTTTGTTTTTTTTTTATAGCTATACATATTATTTGCACACTAAAAAATGTAGTGAAGCAACAAAAAAAAAGGTACAAGCAAGAATCAATTGGCTGAAAACAAATAAAATAGAAGATATAAAGGGCTATGAAGAACTGAGAAAATAAACAACAAAACTGATAAGAACAACTAAAAGAGGGTGGATAGACAATAAAATAAAAATAATTGTAAAAGAAGGAAGTGAGAAAAACAAAATATTTTTACAAGAAAATTAAAGAACAGAACCTAATCTACAAAGGCAAAACAAAGGGAATAAAAAATAAAAAAGGAGAAGTGATACTGGAAGATGAAGACGAAGAATACAAGCAGGTGTGGATAGATTACTCTTAATCAATCCGAAGATAAAAGAATCTGTGGTGATAGAGGAAGAGGAAATGGAAGAAAGGGAAATAGTTGCTGACCCAACAAGAGAAGAGATAGAAAAAGTTATTGGTAAAAATGCCAACTGTTCAACCTCTCATTAGAGTATGTGATGAGGAAAATTAATAAAGGAATACTGAGAACAGCGGGAGGACAAGTCATTGCATATGCAGATGATGACAGTGATAAAATTTAGTTAACAATAAATTACAAATGTTTTAAACACAACATATAACAGTAAATCAATAGCTATTTATGAAACCAGTTACGAAATGCCTTATTATATGTAACGATGGGATATTTGCGGGATGAGCAGAGCGAGGTCCCGCAATATAAACGGCATTTATTAATTGTTTTGGCAAGAAATTACTGACATCTAGGCAACCAATATTACTTTCTTGTATTCTTAGTCGCATACGTATTATTTTATTGACAAATAGAACATTACATTTATTTTATTTATTTTCAACGACTTGTAATGAATTTATATGGCTTATTAAAGTTATTTAGTTTTCGAAAAAGGGGTTATTTTGTCTTGTGTTGTGTTTTAGTTATTTTTTGTTAATTTAGAATGGAAAATAAGGATCAAAACAACATTATTACCAGACCCGGGACCGTAACTAAAAAAAAGTAATGCGTGACATTATCGTTACTTTTGGTGCAATGTAACGCCTTATATAATCTTTATCGTTACTTTCTGAAAGTAATGCGTTATTGTTTCTTTATTACTTTTAAAGTAACGCGTTGCTGAAAAAGTAACACGTTACTGCAATAGTAACTTTTCATTTGTAACTCTTCATTTGCAGTAACGCGTTAGTTTCTTTCTAAAAATACGTTACTTTTGTAAATAAATTAATAAAAAGTTATTTTTACATTTAATGAACAAGAAAGGAAAAATGAAGGTTATATAGTTATTTGTAATTTATACTTTTAGACTTTTAGAATGTTTAGGATACCTAAAAACTTGTAGAAGCAGTAGGTCCTAAAAAAATTGAACACTAATATGCTGATATTTTTATGTATTTCATGGTTTACAAAAAAAATTAACGTTGTTTTTTTTTAGAAAGGCTCTTAAAAATGTTGAATAAAATAATGTTTCTTTTATATAATATTTTTACTGCAATATAGCGTAATAAGTTTAAATACCGTAATAACAACAAACTGCTACGGTTTTAGATTTATATAATCTCATTTCTTACTATTTTTATCCTTTGGTTTATTAGGATAAAAATTATAAGATGTTCCGAGTTAAGAATTCCATTTTATTGGTAGATATGTTTAGATTTGCGTACAGGTAAAACTAGTCAAACAAATAGAATTTCTTTTTCTTTTTCTTTTTCTTTTTCTTTTTCTTTTTCTTTTTCTTTTTCTTTTTCTTTTTCTTTTTCTTTTTCTTTTTCTTTTTCTTTTTCTTTTTCTTTTTCTTTTTCTTTTTCTTTTTCTTTTTCTTTTTCTTTTTCTTTTTCTTTTTCTTTTTCTTTTTCTTTTTCTTTTTCTTTTTCTTTTTCTTTTTCTTTTTCTTTTTCTTTTTCTTTTTCTTTTTCTTTTTCTTTTTCTTTTTCTTTTTCTTTTTCTTTTTCTTTTTCTTTTTCTTTTTCTTTTTCTTTTTCTTTTTCTTTTTCTTTTTCTTTTTCTTTTTCTTTTTCTTTTTCTTTTTCTTTTTCTTTTTCTTTTTCTTTTTCTTTTTCTTTTTCTTTTTCTTTTTCTTTTTCTTTTTCTTTTTCTTTTTCTTTTTCTTTTTCTTTTTCTTTTTCTTTTTCTTTTTCTTTTTCTTTTTCTTTTTCTTTTTCTTTTTCTTTTTCTTTTTCTTTTTCTTTTTCTTTTTCTTTTTCTTTTTCTTTTTCTTTTTCTTTTTCTTTTTCTTTTTCTTTTTCTTTTTCTTTTTCTTTTTCTTTTTCTTTTTCTTTTTCTTTTTCTTTTTCTTTTTCTTTTTCTTTTTCTTTTTCTTTTTCTTTTTCTTTTTCTTTTTCTTTTTCTTTTTCTTTTTCTTTTTCTTTTTCTTTTTCTTTTTTCTTTTTCTTTTTCTTTTTCTTTTTCTTTTTCTTTTTCTTTTTCTTTTTCTTTTTCTTTTTCTTTTTCTTTTTCTTTTTCTTTTTCTTTTTCTTTTTCTTTTTCTTTTTCTTTTTCTTTTTCTTTTTCTTTTTCTTTTTCTTTTTCTTTTTCTTTTTCTTTTTCTTTTTCTTTTTCTTTTTCTTTTTCTTTTTCTTTTTCTTTTTCTTTTTCTTTTTCTTTTTCTTTTTCTTTTTCTTTTTCTTTTTCTTTTTCTTTTTCTTTTTCTTTTTCTTTTTCTTTTTCTTTTTCTTTTTCTTTTTCTTTTTCTTTTTCTTTTTCTTTTTCTTTTTCTTTTTCTTTTTCTTTTTCTTTTTCTTTTTCTTTTTCTTTTTCTTTTTCTTTTTCTTTTTCTTTTTCTTTTTCTTTTTCTTTTTCTTTTTCTTTTTCTTTTTCTTTTTCTTTTTCTTTTTCTTTTTCTTTTTCTTTTTCTTTTTCTTTTTCTTTTTCTTTTTCTTTTTCTTTTTCTTTTTCTTTTTCTTTTTCTTTTTCTTTTTCTTTTTCTTTTTCTTTTTCTTTTTCTTTTTCTTTTTCTTTTTCTTTTTCTTTTTCTTTTTCTTTTTCTTTTTCTTTTTCTTTTTCTTTTTCTTTTTCTTTTTCTTTTTCTTTTTCTTTTTCTTTTTCTTTTTCTTTTTCTTTTTCTTTTTCTTTTTCTTTTTCTTTTTCTTTTTCTTTTTCTTTTTCTTTTTCTTTTTCTTTTTCTTTTTCTTTTTCTTTTTCTTTTTCTTTTCTTTTTCTTTTTCTTTTTCTTTTTCTTTTTCTTTTTCTTTTTCTTTTTCTTTTTCTTTTTCTTTTTCTTTTTCTTTTTCTTTTTCTTTTTCTTTTTCTTTTTCTTTTTCTTTTTCTTTTTCTTTTTCTTTTTCTTTTTCTTTTTCTTTTTCTTTTTCTTTTTCTTTTTCTTTTTCTTTTTTCTTTTTCTTTTTCTTTTTCTTTTTCTTTTTCTTTTTCTTTTTCTTTTTCTTTTTCTTTTTCTTTTTCTTTTTCTTTTTCTTTTTCTTTTTCTTTTTCTTTTTCTTTTTCTTTTTCTTTTTCTTTTTCTTTTTCTTTTTCTTTTTCTTTTTCTTTTTCTTTTTCTTTTTTCTTTTTCTTTTTCTTTTTCTTTTTCTTTTTCTTTTTCTTTTTCTTTTTCTTTTTCTTTTTCTTTTCTTTTTCTTTTTCTTTTTCTTTTTCTTTTTCTTTTTCTTTTTCTTTTTCTTTTTCTTTTTCTTTTTCTTTTTCTTTTTCTTTTTCTTTTTCTTTTTCTTTTTCTTTTTCTTTTTCTTTTTCTTTTTCTTTTTCTTTTTCTTTTTCTTTTTCTTTTTCTTTTTTAATTTAATGAAGTTTGTCTTTATAAGTACCAGTTGATCGAAGTGAAGATCATATAAAGAATGTCTCCTTAAGGCATTAATGATTTCTGAAAAAGAAACCAACCTTTCTACCGGGGCCGATGAAGGAAGGCAAGTGTTGAATTTAAAAAAATTAATATCTCATGACCGAGTAATTATTTAGAGCAGTAATTTATGTGTTTGGATTATTAAGGTATTCAACTGGTTAATCTTCTAGTTCAAAGAAATCATCTAAATATTGTTTGGTTGGTCTCTTCTTGAAGAGTGTTTTTCGTATAAATTTTTCTTTGGTCCTGCTCCAGAACGATCCAAAAATAAACAATGTCCAATAACGTCCACAAAGACTCTAAAAAAAAAAATAAAAAGTGGAAAGCCGAAATTAGAGGATCAGGCAATATCATGTACATTCCCAAATCTCCCTTTATGCTTGTATTATAACAGTAAAAAAATATGTTAACTGTGTTTTATTTTGCTCTTAAAACTATATTTAGGTATAATTAAAAAAAAATTAGACACAAAATTGTATTTACTAAATTTCACCACTTAACTAATCTTTTCGAATTTGGTCATACATACCTAATTTGTATTTTATATAGATAAAATTAAATAATTTATCAATTAAAACATGCGAGACTTATTTAGAAATAAATACAACAGTATATTCTGTGCTTTATTTGGCAATAAACAAGTTTATTTTTATTTTGTCAAAATTATGTAAAATTTTCAATAGGAAGCCATGTATTTTGAATTGCACTACTAGCACCAGCGCCCTTGCGGTGAATTAAAAAAGCTCAATTAGCGTTCGGTTTTTGGGACCATATTTTGAGTATGCCGATTCGCTTCCTTATCTCTAATCTTCATAGCCGGGACAATTCCACCGCAAGTCTCGCATAATTTCTGCTAGGAGGCGCTAGCTGACGGATGAATTGAACGCACTTTTTAATTTTACACCTAGAAATCATAATATTAATTTCATCGAAATTTTATTAATACAGTTTATCTAACACAACCTTTAAAGATGAGAAAAGTTGTTATGGATCAACTATAAACTACCATTATTTAAATAAAAAAAGCACATATATTTTTTTAACAAATTTAATAACTTTTCGCACTCTAGGAGTTGATTAAGAATTGCATAATTCAAACCGCATACAAATATACTTAAAAATAAAAAAGTTACGCCAAAACTAGTGAAAACTGCATATTATAATTTTCTTAATATTCATAAAAGCCAACCACAAATAAACAGAAAGCAGTAACGCACTACAGTTTTCTACAATTTTTAAATGGGAATTGAATATTTTGTGGTATTTGAAATACAATAAATGAATTGAATTACTCCAAAGTATTTGAATTACAATAAAGGAATTGAATAGTTTAAAAAATAATTAAATTACTCAAATATCTTTAAAGTAATTGCCAATTATAATTACTTTCTAGAAAGTAATTATAGTACTAAATAATTCTAAGGTTTCAAAACCCTAATTGAATTAAGGTAATTCAATTACTGAAAAGTAATTTAATTACATTTTCAACTCTTTTAATTCAATTATTTGACAGCTCTGCTAGTAAGTTACTTTTTATTAAATAATGAGTTGAAATATGCCAAAAATTTTCTTACCGAATATCCCTCGGCCAGTGATACATACACATAATTTTATTTCAGATACCTCAAGCCCGTTTCTTAAGGTGATTACAGCACTCCCTTATAATTTTCGGACAAGGATATCTCAAAAAGTAATTTTTTTAAAAAAACTAAAATTTTGGCAAAATATATAAGGCAATAATGTCTAAAATATGCATATATTTTAAAATTTTAATTCCTTCCAGTTTCCGAGAAAAAAAAATTAAAGAGCTTTAAATTTTGAAATATCATAATGAAAATAAATGCATTCCTCAACAGCACTATTATTAATATAATCCTCAAATTTAAGCTCTTAATCTCTTGTAAATTATTTTTTAAAATTCGCCGAAATTAGTGGCTAAAACGCCTTGTTAAGTGCTATTTTCGGGTTTAAACTGATGTAAACTGGTGTAAATTGTTGCAAAAAACGAATGATGACTCAGAGTGTACGATACGAAAGTTACAGACGCGTTACACTAGAAAAAAGCACTTAACGAGGCGTTTTAGCCACTAATTTCGGCGAATTTTAAAAAATCATTAACAAGAGATTAAGAGCTTAAATTTGGGGATTATATTAGGAATAGTGCTGTTGAAGAATGCATTTATTTTCATTATGATGTTTCAAAATTTAACGCCCTTTGATTTTTTTTCTCGGAAACTGAAAAGAATTAAACCTTTAAAAAATATGCATATTATAGATATTATTGCTTAATTTATTTTGCCCAAATTTAAATTTTCTTAAAAAATTACTTTTTGAGATATCCTTGTGCCAAAATTATAAGGGGGTGCTGTAATCACCTTAAGGTAACTTCCTGACGCCGTAGGCGGAGGGAAGTTACCAAGCAACGTGCCTTCGGTAAGTGAAAAAAAAATATTTCGAATTATCTCTGATTTCGAATTATCACTGTCCTTGGGATATTACTACTGATAATATTTTTATATTATTATTTTATCAATAAATTTGTACTAATAAATAATTAAATTATTATTTTTTTATCGTCGCTCGCCGCCCCTTTGACTTGCCACCCGTGTGCCTCGCACCTCTTGTACCCCCGAGTTGGAACGCCCCTGATTGATTGGTAGATAATTCGAACGATAAAGAATATTTTTGCGAAGAGATTTCCTTTTCTAAGTCCTTATTGTCATATCTTATAATAGTAATATTATAAAACAAAAAAATACGACCAATTCCATAATTATTTATTTAATTTTATGTAAGTGGAAACTTCTGCTTTATGTTTACATATTTCATATGTTAGTGTTGACATACACACAATAAATTCCCAATATTTTGAACTGGATTAATGTTTTAGTCTCTCGATCTGTATGATGCTATTGTTATAGCGAACCAAAATGATGTAACTGCATTCGAAATTCTATTAGGTCCGTATAAATATATAACAAAACGAAGTAACTAAAAATAATTTGTTTTTTTTAGACGGCTTCCGTCAGAATTAAAACTCGTAAAGTTTTGTATAATCCCATAGAGATAATAAACATGACTGTGTAAACAAAACAAATAATGGCCCTGTCGAATTAACAAATATAAAATAGTAGCACACACCTGGTGCTTTTCTTTTCACACACAAACACACCCACCTGGTGCTTCAAAATCCTTGGATTTTTGTAACTTCTTACTAGTCTTTAATACTAGAATATATCAGTCTAAAAAAAATAACATAAAACAGTACATTTAAAAATACGAAAGTTTGAAAAGAGCATAGTTAAGAATAAAAATTATTATTATAATTTTTTTTTTTTTTAGTTGATGAAAGTTCGGGAAGAATTCCAGTTCAACCAATTGCATCACATGAAAATCATCTGTCACTGACAAACACTCTAAAACCACAATTAGCAATTCCAGTAAGTAGTTTTTCGAATAAACCTAAACTAGATAAAAAAAGTGGAATATAATATTAAATAAAAAAATAGTTAATTATGCAACAGTGATTAGAGTTGCTTTACTCACGAGTTTCATACAGAATTTTTTCAACGTCCGTAGATTTAAATAAATTCGATAAAGCCTTCATTAATTTTTATTTTATAATAGTAATATTAAAATTGTTAGCATTATTAATTTGAAAGAAGAACTTACATTACTACTAGTATTTGAAATGGCAACATTTAATGAGTTTGAAGAAATAATATTATTATCTAAAGGACCAGGCAGCCGGCTTATGGACAAAAGGGCTTCTGTTGAATTTCCTGAATTTTTGACATGTTGTAGTTGTCGATTTATGAGCAATAGTGTCCACGGGCCCATCTTCGAGCACATATAATATATGCAGGTCTATGAACTTGGCACCATAACATTGCAAAAAAGGGTCAAAAATGTGTGAGAGGTTTGTCCATCGTTTGCCCATTATTGCCCATGAAATAACTTTTTTTGCCCACCCTCTGTTTTCACAATATATCGAAAACAATTTTCGCGGGCCAACTTCCAGACAAAAGTTAAAATTTTCATAATTTAATTTCACGGCATAATAGCATTTCGTTTGCCCACGTTTGCCCATAAATTAGTTTTTTCAGACAAAAAAAATAGTAGCACACACAATATTCACAAAAATGCAATATGATAACTACATTAGATAATCATTCGTTAGCCCATGTTTGCCCATTTTCTTGTTAAACAAATTTCCATAACAATCTTCAAAAAAAATTTAATTAAAAAAGGGATTTGATGACAATTCCACTATCCGAGATTTATACGAGTTTATTTGTTATAAAAAAATGAGCAAACATCGAAATAATGCCAAAATATTTGTGAGTTACTAAAAAATGTTATATGAGGATTGCCCATTTTTTTAAAAAATCATCGTCCAATAGGGGTGTTTAATCTCCGATAATAGTGCATTTTTGTGTTTTATTTAATATAAAAAAATGGACAAACATAAAAATGATTCCAAAATAATAAAAAGTTGCTAAGAAATGTATTATTAGGATGGCCCATTTTTAAAAAAAAATCATCGTCCAATAGGGAGGCTTAATCTCCAATAATAGTGCATTTCTGTGTTTTTATTTAATATAAAAAATGGGCAAACATCGAAATAATTCAAAAATAAGTGTAAGTTGCTAAGAAATGTATTCTGAGGATTGCCCATGTTTTTAAAAAAATCCTCGTCCGATAGGGGGCTTAATCTCCGTTAATAGTGCATTTCTGTGTTTTATTTGATATAAAAAAATTGACAAACATCGAAATTATTCAAAAATAAGTGTTAGTTACTAAGAAATATATTGTGAGGATTGCCCATTTTTTAAAAAAAATCATCGTTCAATATGGGGGCTTAATCTCTGATAATAGTGCATTTATGGATGTTTATCTGATATGACAAAATGGGCAAACATCGAAATGATTTCAAAATAATTGTAAGTTGCTAAGAAATGCATTCTGAGGATTGCCCGTTTTTTAAAAAATCCTCGTCCAATAGGGCATTAAAAATGGGCAAACATCGAAATGATTCCAAAATAATTGAAAGTTGCTAAGAAATATATTCTGAGGATTGCCCATTAAAAAAAATCCTTGTCCAATAGGGGGGGCTTAATCTCCGATAATAGTGCATTTCTCTGTTTCTACTTAATATAAAAAAATGGACAAACATCAAAATGATTCCAAAATAAGTGTAAGTTACTAAGAAAGGTATTCTGAGGATGGCCCATTTTTAAAAAAAATTCTTATCCAATAGAGGGGCATTAACTCCGATAATAGTGCATTTATGGGTGTTTATCTGATATAACAAAATGGGCAAACATCGAAATGATTCCAAAATAATTGTAAGTAGCTAAGAAAAAAATCCTCGTCCAATAGGGAGGCTTAGTCTCCTATAATAGTGCATTTCTCTGTTTTTACTTAATATAAAAATGTTAGCAAAGATATTATAACAGGATTTTTTTTTTAAATGGGCATTTCCCAGAATACATTTCTTAGCAACTTTCAATTATTTTGGAATCATTTCGATGTTTGCCAATTTTTTTATATCAACTGAAAGCACAGAAATGCACTACTATCTGAGATTAATCCCCCCTATTGGACAAGGATTATTTTTAAAAAATGGGCAATCCTCAGAATACATTTCTTAGCACCTTTTTATTATTTTGGAATAATTTTTATGTTTGCCCATTTTTTATATTAAATAAAACACAAAAATGTACTATTATCAGAGATTAAGCCCCCCTATTGGACGATGATTTTTTTTTTAAAATGGGCAATCCTCAGAATATATTTCTTAGTAACTTACACTTATTTTTGGATAATTTCGATGTTTGCCCATTTTTCATATCAGATAAACACCCATGAATGCACTACTATCGGAAATTAAGCCCCCCTATTGGACGAGGAGTTTTTTTAAAAAATGGGCAATCCTCAGAATACATTTTTTAGCAACTTGCAATTTTTTGAAATTATTTTGATCTTTGCCCATTTTTATATCACTAATAAACACATATAAATGCACTATTGTCGGAGTTTAAGACCCCCTATTGGACGAGGATTTAAAAAAAATGAGCAATTCTCATAAAACATTTTTTAGTAACACAAATATTTTGGCATTATTTCGATGGTTGCCCATTTTTTTATAACAAATAAATCTCGGATAGTGGAATTGTCATCAAATCCCTTTTTAAATTAATTTTTTTTTGAAGATCGTTATGGAAATTTGTAAAACAAAAAATGGGCAAATATGGGCTAACGAATGATTATCTAATGCAGTTATCATATTGCATTTTTGTGAATATTTTTTTTTATTTTTTTATTTTCTCCAATTTTTTTTTTCTGAAAAAACTAATTCCATGGGCAAACGTGGGCAAACGTTGGCAAATGTGGGCAAACGTGGGCAAACGAAATGCTATTATGCCGTAAAATTAAATAATGAAAATTTTAACTTTTGTCTGGAAGTTGGCCCGCGAAAATTATTTTCGATATAATGTGAAAACAGAGGGTGGGCAAAAAAAGTTGTGGTGCCAAGTTCACAGACCTAATATATGCTCGAAGGGGCACAACTCAATCCAGAGCCGGATTTAGAGGTGTGGAGGCCTTGGGGTAACAAGGGAGTGGAGGCCCCTAATTATTTTTCAAATACGTTAAATAATATTTTTCTCGCAAGCGTTTGTTTATTTAGTCGTATGGCACAAAAAGATAGAATAAGCAATAACAAATCAAATCACAATAAGTAAAAAAAAACTTTAAATTAAAGTCTCTCATACGAATGGCACCTTGCGAGCTTTTTTCAACGAAAAATCATTGATGATTTCGTTAAAATCCAGCTCCCGCAGTAAATCACTTTCAATACTAGGTAGAGATAACTTTTATAGGCGGTTTTGTACCGTAGTTCTTATCCTATTTTTTATCATTTTTGAAAATAAGCGCTCTTCAGTGCAATTTGACACCATCAAAACCAAGTACATTCGCAGTGTATTTTCTATGTTTCGGAATGTAGCTCTGAAATTTTGATTTTCAAGAATTTGATAATAGAACAGCTCCTTAGATATGTCTTTTTTATAGTCTATTTTGTATAAGTTTATTAAAGATACAAATTGAACCAACTCATTACACCAAGACTAGGTTCTAAATCGACTTTGTAAACTTTTACCAATTCATCTGCTGCAGCATACAAATTTGCAGCATCCATCTCCTCTAAGTGATTAAGAAATCCAATTTTATATAGCATAGTATGAATGCAATCTTTTAGTAAAAAAAACAGCTGATCAATCACTGGGATAAAGCCTGACACTTTAAATTTATCTTTTGGTCACAAGTCAGCATTGTTTTGTTGAATATATTCTGATGGCGAATAATACTAATCATGCTCTTTTAATTTAAGTTATTGAATTACCTTAACTATTATCAATTAAATAACAGCTGATTGACCAAAATCGAAGTGCCAACTAACCTCCAAAACTTGTCAGATGTCAAATGTCCGATTAAGTACACCGTTGCCGGGTTTCTCATATAATTCTCACACGTCTTGAGCATGACAGAACAGCTCCCTCTTTTAAAGGTTACTAGGAGTATAACTTATAACTAACACAACTATTACATAAATTAGTAGAAAACTACAAAGTGTTTGAGATGGCTAGCTTACAATTTCCCGTCGCGACCTTCTCATTATTGAGGGCGTTTCTAGAGGAAGTGGTTCCGTAGCCGGACTTTCTCTTTTAATTTCACTTTCACTAACGCACCCATTTCTTCACATTCATCACCAGGAGGGTTTTCGCTATAGTTGCCTACTATTATCGGAGGAGCTGATGCTGGGGTAATTTTCCTCTTATTGGTAAAATAAGGTGCAGGAATTAGTGCATAGCGATTTCGCCTGAAATCACCTTCTTTAGTTTTTAAGATGTACGATCTCAGTTAGTCTAATATAGAAATAACGTTCCCGTAAATTCTCCTCTCTCTTACCCAAACACCATCTCCTATCTCTAAATCTGATAATTTTCTGGTCTGATGTCTTTTGTCAAATTGACTGGCAGTTCTTTTTCTAAATTTAGACTCTTGATCTACAATCTTTTTATCTAGTTTAGATGGACATATAGGTAAAGGGGATCTTAACTTCTTGTTCATTAGAAGTTCAGAGGAGCTGTATCCACACTCGAGTGGGGTGGTCCTATAGGCTAGCAGTGCTAAATATATATTTTTTTAATTTTTTTTTAAATTAGACTTTTGGCTATCTTTACCGCAGCTTCTACGCAACCATTATATTGGGGAAAATACGGGCTGCTGGTAACATGCTTAAAATCATACTCAGCTGCAAACTGTTTAAATCCTGATTGGAACTGCGGACCGTTATCCGACCGAACTATTTCCGGAATACCGTAACGACAAAAAATTTGTTTTAATTTCGTAATTATTATGGACTCGGTCATAGAGT